CGCTTCTCGTTGCGTCACACCTCAACCCGCATCAAAGCCAACGCTGATTGGACGTTCGTTTGGTGAACGGCTCCAAATTTTCTTCAGGATAGTCTCACGAGGCTATGTTTTTTATGCTTCTGGACAGAAGCTAAAGTTACGACCAGCATGAAAGGCAACTTTGGTGGCAAGTAGCTAGTTCTATGTCACTGGCTGTGCTTAATGTGGTTCCTAGTAAATCATATGCCATTTCGGGAAATAAACACATTTCCTACCTCTCTTTGGGGTATTAAGGGAGTGTGCCTTTCTTGTTGATCCAGCCCTTCATTGCTAGCATGTTTAATTAGAACTACAGGTTGCTGGAATTCTTAAATTGATTCTAGCTATTGCAATGGATGTAACGAAACATGCTACGAAATCGCTCCACAGTTCAGGGAGCAAGAGAAAGGTGACGCTCCTTTATTTAAATCAGGGGGAGATTAGTTTATTTCCAGAAATTGTACAATAATGCTTTTTCATTAAACGGAATCGATAAGAGAATCGAATCGTTTCACAGAATCGATAAGGGAATCGGAATCGTGAAAATCTTATCAATTCCCAACCCTAGTTATATCTTCCCCCATGGAGGTTGCCCTTTTTTCACCTGTGCAATGCATTCTGGGTGGATGGCATGTTTAGGTCTAACTGAACTGGAACGTACTGAGTAAACAGGAAGGCTAACATTTTAACATATTGTGTTTGACAGGTGTAAATGTAGATAATGTTGCTGCTGTGTTGCTGCCTCAAAGTTAACTGTTGAAACAAACAAATGTGATCAATCAGCATGTGATCAATTGTTTGCTATATTAGCCACAGCTAACACCATTAGCGGAAGCTAACTGAAATTGAAATCAAATCTGAAGAAAATGACTGACTGTTTAGTGAAATTTAAAGCATCTTTCATGTCATAAAACATCATTCTAATACATCTAAGGAGATATTTTGATCATGATGCTAACCCTAAGTAGCTTCAGGCAGAAACTGGAGCTCTTTGTAGCATAGCTCTACATCTGGGTTAGCATTTCCTAGCAGCAACTTCACAAACCCTAGCTTCCTCCTCTGTTTGTTTCTACTCATCTTCATCACATCTTGTGATTTCTACAATTTTAAAGCACTCAAGTTCAAACTGAAAAAGTTTAACGTCACTTTTTATTGTTTTAGCTGCATGGAGCTAGCGCTACAACACCTAGCATATGTCATATACCCAGAATGCTTTGCAGCATAAAGAACATGACAGCGTCCTTGTGACAATATTAAATTTGGATTTATTCAAGCTAGACAGATTAGAGTATTTATAATTTAATGGTTTTAAATAACAAAATATATTTCAAGTAATATATATTGTTCCAACTGATCATGGATTCCTTTTAATGATGCTCCCTGAGTCGCCTGAGCGAATCTATTTCCAGCTGAATCAGCAGGGAGCCTCTGAGCTTTATCTAATATGTTGGATTTATTAAAATATTCCTGTGAGATCTGGCTGCTTGGAAGGAAAAAATAAGATTTAAACTTTTGCATACTCTTGTATGAAGCAGATGGATGAATTAGTACAAAACTGAACTTCAAATGTCTCCAAATTCTAATAAAACAAAAAGTTATTGCAGCTTTAAAGCCACTTCAAGCACTTTAAAAAAACGTCTTGCTTTGCTTCGGTTTCTCAGTTTAAAACTTAAAAATAAATTACAGAAACAAACATCAGTGGCATGTTTGAGCATAAAGGTGTTCCAGGTTGGTTCTCCTCTGATTCTGTTGGTTTTATCTGGATGGCTTGGTAGCTTCTCTGGACGTTTCCTGAGATTTTTCTACAAACTCGCTAACTGCACAGTGAAAACCTGAGCTGCTTTGAAACCAGTCCGGTGACCCCTGGTGGCCAGGCAGCTCTTCCTCGTGGCCTCTGATTGGCTGAGGGCCAGGAAGTGCCGTGGGGGCCAGGGAGAGGATTCTGGGTAATACTAGATGACATGTTGGAGTGTGATGCTGTTGCTAAGAACTGTTTTAGTGCCTTTTTTCTGCTCGGTGCTCGCCTTTCACATGGGAATGTATTCATAAGGCACAGGAGGAGGAAACCCAGCCTCCTGCAGTGCTGATCAGTTTCACATCAAACTTATTTATGCACTACATGTCAGATGTCCTATTTTGTGGAAATAAACTTACTTTTATAAGGATTTTCCTGCCTCTGGGTGTTATTTATGCATTTTTTAAATATTTTTTTGTGTCAAATTAAAAGCAGTCAGCATCTTTGTGAGAAATATCAGGGTTGCCCTGGGGGTGGAGGATGGCGGTCTAGTGGATAGCGCATAGAGCTTGGAATCCTGAGGTTCTGCGTTTGAGCCCCACTCCCACAGACTGCCACTCTGGGTCCCTGAGCAAGACCCTTAACCCCACACTGCTCCCCGGGCGCCGAATAATGGCAGCCCACGGCTCCCCAAGGGGATGGGTTAAATGCAGGGGTAAATTTCTCCAATGTGAGATCAATAAAGTTCAATTATATTATTTTTATTATTATAATAAAGCAGTTTTACAGAGGTAAAAGAAAATCATTAAACCTGAACAAAATAAAAAAAATAAAGAAAGAATCCACATCTTTTTAAGAAGCAGAATTATGCCCCGCCTCCAGAGAACAGCTCTGCATGCATGAAAATCTGCCTCATCTTTTCAGGAGAGTCCCTTTAGTTTCAGCAGCTGTGGAAAAACACTTTAACGATCACATTTTTATTTATAAAGAGGCACCTGTAGGGCTTTTGTTCCCTTTTAAAACCACCATTTTTCTCTAAACCTCCACAGCTTTAAGTCCGATTTTACAACTTTCTCCTGCATAGTGCTCCATTTGACTGAAGCCCAAAGATCAGAATAAAACACACTTCTGTTTTTCTGAAAGCATAATATTAATCTGTCTCTGACTGTAAGCAAAACCTCCATGTTGCAATTATTCCATTATTGTTGCAACCGGTGAACAAGTAAATGGAAATTTAAAAGAAAATCCAAAAATTTAACTTTAAGAAAAGGTTTTCTCCCCCAAAAAATCATAGATTCTATATATTTACATTTGACTTTTACTAGATTTTATTTTTTACAGATTTTATATTTTAAAACGTTTTTTTTTACATCGAGTTTTACCAATTGTGTTCTTTTCAAAATCAAATTCTCTTCACTTAGAGTCCAATACAAACATTCATTCTTGACCAATAAAATGTTGTTCCCTACATCCAGCAGACCAATAGAAATGCGTCTTCACTCCTCACTAATAAGAATAGTGAAGACAATTTGACCTTTAAAATACATTTTCAAAAGAACACAATTTGTTACATTAAATATTTAAAAAAAAATAAACAAAAAAATACAAAACTGAAAAAAATCAAATCTGAGAAATAAGCCAAGTTGCTTTCAAAACCCTTCTTGATTAAAATATTTTTCAAACTTTGATTTTCGGAATGACATTTCTGTTAATTTCATTTTATATTTCTATTTACA